AGATATGAAAAATAATTATATATATATATATAAGAAAATATAAAAATGAAAACCAATTCAAAATATTAATAAAAACCCTCAATGATATTAAAATATAACTGGTAAAATATTGGTTCATACACATTAAGAGTGGAGATAAGGCAAAAGCAAACAGCTTCTCTGGTCCGGCTGTTTTTATGTCTGAATCCGGCCAACATTCGGTCCCAAACATACTGCAAATAAAAATACTTTTATTAGTTTTAAGCACAATTGATTTAATATTTCTCTGAAGCAGGATGCTGTGAGGGTCTCACCTGTGGACTGGCCGCTTGGTCCATGGCTTTTAACAGAAGAGACTGCGCTTGATCTCGAACCTGGTCCTTAGAGTCCCCTAAACGATCGATTAAACTGGGCAGAACTGAGAGAGAAAAATCTAAATCAGTGCATAAAACTTTACAATATTTACTAAAAAAGTCTGCATTTGTTCTTAATAAAATAAAATATTATTAAAAGAATAATGCAATAAATATTCAATATTATTATAGGAACATTTTCACCTGTTCCTATCTGTGTTCTGAAGCGCTCCTGTAATCTGGTCACTAACGCAGACACTATGTCCATTCCCAGCAGCGCCACCTTAAAAAGACCAAAATTATTCATCAGAATAAGATTAAAGTAGGATATTTCAATAATAACATCACATTACAAATGACATTCAGTAACATTTACAAGTCAAAACGGCACTGAAAGCATTTTTTCTCCGAGTCCGACTGTGTATGCAAATCTAAGCTGCAAAGGATTGTGGGTAATGTCCACTAAACTGCGTTTTATTGTCAAATATTCACAAAACTAGGCTCAGTTTCTAGTAAATGGTCACAGATTCTGTGACAGTGAACGGTGTTGAATCAGACAAGCACACTATTTGAGCTGAACAGCAGAGTTTGTGTTTTTTCACAGTCACCGTCGTCGTGAAGAGCAGCAGCGCTGTATGAAAGTATTGGGACGAACGTTCGCTAATATCTTTCCTTGTCTGGGGGTGGATTGGGTTGTTCAATGAACGTGTAGTGAGAACAGCCCTGCTGACACCTAACCAACACAATCCGCATCACCTGAACCGCGTGTTCAGAATATGGTGCAATTTTTGGAAGCTATTAAACAGTTTCAGTAAGAAACTATACAGTGAGCAGGAGGTACAGCAACATCTGGAGTTTAGGGTGTTGTTATGTTGTGATATATATGTAGCACCACGAAACTTCCACTTGTATATATTTGAGAGATTAAGTCTATACATATATTAAAAGTTACTTAGTGTTTAAAAATAACTTATTGACGGTAATTTAATAGCTATAAACCAAAAAAAAATTGATAAAATTAAAATAAATCGACTGCGCATTTTATGTGTGCAAATTATCATTAAATTAAAATAATAAAATTAAAGAAAGTTAAAATTATTTAAAACTAAAGAGGTGTTTTAGGTTGCTTCTATTTCCCTTATTTAATAAACTTTAATTTAATTAAATAAATCAATATATTGATTTAAATAAAAAATAAAAAAACAATTAAATGTAAAAACAAAAATAGAATAAGTTATGACTGCGCACTTTATAATGAGTGCAAATTAGTATTAAATTAAAGTGGTACAATTAAAAAAAAGTTCAAATTAATTAATCAAATTAATGGCACTGTTGCCAAGATGCAGAGATTTTAAGAATAAACTTTATTAATGTGATTTTATTACAGTGGTTGGAGCAGTATCCTCAATTATACGATCAACAAAATAATAAAATAATATATATATATATATATATATATATATATATATGTGTGTGTGTGTGTGTCTGTCTGTCTGTCTGTCTGTCTGTCTGTCTGTCTGTCTGTCTGTCTGTCTGTCTGTCTGTCTGTCTGTCTGTCTGTCTGTCTGTCTGTCTGTCTGTCTGTCTGTCTGTCTGTCTGTCTGTCTGTCTGTCTGTCTGTCTGTCTGTCTGTCTGTCTGTCTGTCTGTCTGTCTGTCTGTCTGTCTGTCTGTCTGTCTGTCTGTCTGTCTGTCTGTCTGTCTGTCTGTCTGTCTGTCTGTCTGTCTGTCTGTCTGTCTGTCTGTCTGTCTGTCTGTCTGTCTGTCTGTCTGTCTGTCTGTCTGTCTGTCTGTCTGTCTGTCTGTCTGTCTGTCTGTCTGTCTGTCTGTCTGTCTGTCTGTCTGTCTGTGTGTGTGTGTGTGTGTACGAAGATTTAAAAAAAAACACACACACACCATATGAACACCCTGTCTATATGGATGCATCTTTTCTGATTTCAATGTCAAAATGAAAAAAAAAATTAAAGACATAAATTTAATAACAAAAATAGAATAAGTTATGACTGCACACTTCATAATGAGTGCAAATTAGCATTAAATTAAAATGTTGAGATAAATAATTAAAATTAAAGCAATAAAAAGGTTGATTCTATTTCTTCTTTTTAAAAATACATTTTTAATTAATTAAATAAATCAACTAAAGAAAAGTGGATGGCTCTTTTGCCGTGACAGTGATTTTAAGAATAATCTATAGTAATGTGATTTTAGTACCATGATTGTGACAGTACCCTCAATTATACAATCAACAAAATAATACAATATTAAAAAAAAAAAATAAATAAATAAAATTATGAATTGCTTTAAAAACAACACATGGACATCCTGTATATATGGGTGCATCTTTTCTGACTTTGATGTCAAAATTAAGAACAAACAACAAGTGAGAAAATAATTAATAAAAAAATAGTTATGACTGCACACTTTGTAATGTGTGCAATGTGCACTGGTGCTGATTTGCATTCAATTTTGTTCGGCTGCAATGAAAAGCCACTGTGCTATCTGTGCATGATTTATGAAACCTTATGCATCTCTGTATGCAGAATGTGCGCTTAACATACGTCACATTTCAATAACCACACGGTTTTATTACAACATTTGCATGTTTATTCCGTCTCATGCATCGCTGTGACCGCCTGACTGTGACTCTGAGCATGTGTGAGGTAAAATAAGAGCTCCGGGTTGCAGTGGGACCCCGGCTGTCCTCGTTACGGAAAGTCGGGTGATTACTCTCGCTGGAGACGCTGGGTTTCCAGGCCAGCAGTGGGACGAGCGCTCTGATTGGCTGATGCGGCTCAGGCGTTTGTGAGCCGTTAAATGTTCGTTAAAAGGAGTCCAGAGGTGCGAAGAACACATGCATGCTCATACTGCATCATCTGACCTATCAAACTGAGCTTTAGTCCATTATAAGAACAGTTAGACAGATTATCGATTAGGCTGAACAAATTAACACATACACACACTCACACCACACACACTCACACACACACACTCACACACACTCACAGACACACACACGCACGCTCACAGACACACACACGCACACGCACACTCACAGACACACACACGCACACACTCACACACACACACAGACAGACATACACACAGACACACACACACACACACACACACACAC